TCATAAAGGTGTGTTCAGATCGGGGATTTAGAATTTCCATGATGGAGATATCACTTATACTAATTACACTGGGAAACAAAGAAAAAAGGATCAACTTGGAGACCCATGACCAGCCAGAAAGAGACTTTCAAGAAGTCGTACTTCAGCAATGGCAAACAAAATATGGCATTTTGCAACAGGTGATAACTCACAAACACAAAGGCTAGTTGTAAAAGTCGCCCACATGCCCCAGACAACAATTGGCTACATAGTCAAGAAGAATCTCGATCTGGAAAATTGACACAAGTCACGTGTACACAAAATACTTCCATGACATATTCGTTCAACTGTCGCACACCTCAAGCAGCTAGAGAAATAAACGGGTATTCATGATATTCCATACAAAGACATACTGGTCAAGTTGCGAGACGCAATGCCTATAGATTTCTGTGACCAAACTATGGTAACGGGAGCTGGGAACCACCGTCCTCGTACAATAGGTGTAGTATAGAAAGAATGCAAAAACAGTGGGGTACTTTTGACATGACAGCCTTTTGCAATGGAAACTATAGTGCAGGACTATTGTCAAGATGCACGGCCGTTAAGTAGAGCATGACCTGAAGTGACAACATGGACTATAACTACGTTGAGAGGTTTAAAAATTGTCTTAATATAACATATTCAGTACGTGTATAACACATAGATGGGCAAGTAAGTGAAGAATTTACTGCATTATCAATACTGCAATAGGTAATCATAATAGGTGAAGGACATATTTACAGGACTGTCCTCTAAGACCTAAGTTACCAAGAAAGATAAACAGGAATTTGCTCTATTTCCTATTATAACTTATCATGGAATATAAATGAAGCATTTTATACATGCTCGGTTCAATAAGTGGTGGATATGCAAGACACATAAGAAGTTATTTGTATTATCAGTTCTGTGGAAGTTCACCATGGTAGTTAAAAGGAACATTTAAAACATTATCAGTTCTGTAACATTTACTGTACTATCAGTTTTACAATGGATATTAATGTAATATAAAAGGAGCAGTTATAGTGTATCATCAGTTCAATAACAAATTATCATTCACTATACTTATCGTATGTTTGGTATAACATACATAGCTGTTTATTTGTATTACCATTTGTGTAATAAATAGTACCCATTGAATATATAATTTATTATGTTATCAGTGGTATACCAGGAAACCAAGGAATATATAAGTATCTGCAGAGTTATTCAAAACTTAGTTGGTTTGTTCTATTGTAAATAACCCGAAATTACAGCCTCAAAATGATTTTCAGGAGACGCTCCATTACAATTTAATATCGGTTAAGGCATGAAAACAGCATCAAACATTTCAGGAGTTATTATACCATTAGAAGTGACTTCTGGTGGTTTACCTCTGTACATCAGAAGTTGAGTTCTTATAAAGCCTTACTACAGCCATGGTAATAATGCTGGTGTAACATTAAGGTAACAACGAGAGGACCATGCAGCAGTGAGAAACAAACTTGAACAAAGAGGATTGGTTGTATATGTAACTTGGAATATATTATTATTCCTACACTTAAGAAAAAAGGGTTTGGAATAAAACAGTTTTCATTGAAAGATGGGGCTCCGTCAACCATTGCATGGACTGTAAAGACATTCCTGGGACATGCTTTCAGAGAACTGGTAATCAGCATTTTTTCCCGTACATGAATAATACGGCTTCAACTTTCACCCTTGATGACTTTAGGCTATGAGGCTACTTTACGTCTTTGGTTTACCGTGACAAGCTCGCTACCTTGACAGGCTTTAAATACATCATAGGACACCAATTAAACTGCAAAGTATCGTTCATGTGTATATCATGATCTTTCATGAATGCAAGCAACAGTGGACATGAATGGAGGTCACATTGAACACGTTGGCTGTGCGAATTTCGCGATCACTGTCTTCTGGTGCTAATTAGATTTAGCTCTGGGGTCGTCTTTTTCATCGTCTCATTAGTTAATCTACCAAATATTATATATTTATGATGATTAGTTCCCAAATTTGGCCGTTAGAAAAGACCAGTTAACTTTATAACTTCCTTACACATCTACTGTGTTAAGCATGTGTGAAATGTTGAAATGGTTTTGTACAATTACTTTTAATTTGTGAGCTTTCAAAAATTGAAAACGTAACATTTTCGAAGCGTGCGTATAAAGCCTAATTAAGAGCTCTCTGGCATATGCTTTGAAATATACAACTTACAACTTTACAATTTAATTATTAACTCTAAAATTATCGGCGAGTCCATATAGGACTCATTGGATTTTCAAATTCATTTTTTCTCTACTATTTTTGCGCCATATTTGGTGAACCTAATAACATATGGGTCACGAAAAATTTAAATATCAATAATATATAAATACTACGTTAATCTCACTAATTACTGTTGGGACCTCTTTGAATTTCACAGTGAGTGATGCAGCTTAATACTTTTGGTCGTTTCTTTATATAGAGTCTTGAAACAGGCAATTATATAAAACTACTAGCATACGGACCTCATAACAAGTCCGTAATTTGAAGATCAAGAACAAACTAAAAGAAATAATTGGATGAAGATAATCGCACTGTTTTAACTTATCTCTTCCAGTGCAGCCCATGTAGTATTTAAAAAAAGTTAAAATGAGCAAAAAGGTTTTAAATTGCGTCTTTCTTCCTCTAATATGTTACACTAGTATAGCGCGAGTTAGAAACATATTGGTTATTGATTGATGTTATTCACAATGAACCTGTTAAAATCAGGTGTAAAGTTACAACAGTTTAACCAGATGTGTGAAAATATTAAGCAACAAACCATTACAATCATCACAATGAACTATAGTGAAATATTATACAAACCACGTGAGTTTACCTAATAATGACAACGTCTCTGACATAAGAGAAACCATTCTCTTGATGAACTGAAGAAAAGTTCCCAATACCAATACCTCCAACAACATACCAGAGAAATCTTTGTCTTGATGATGAACCGATGAAACGTTACCAATACCTCAACATACATACCAGAGAAATCTTTGTCTTGATGATGAAGTGATGAAAAGTTACCAATACCTCAACATTACATACCAGAGAAATCTTTGTCTTGATGATGAACCGATGAAAATTTACCAATACCTCCAACATAACATACCAGAAAAATCATTGTCTTGATGAACTGATGGAAAATTACCAATACCAATACCTCCAACATAACATATCAGAGATATCATTGTCTTGATGAATGACGAAAAGTTACCAATATCAACTGATTTTTATTCAGCAACAACGATAACTCTAAAATCACAAAGAAACATATGTTTATTGACTGGTAAAAATTATCAACACTTTTTATTGCTCGTAAATTGAAAGGTGTAAAGTTCATATATTTCATTTCTTGAATCAGTTAGTATTATTTGGAAGGAAACCGCTAACTATGCATTAAAATACAAATCTAGACCCCCATTAAGCAATAAATTAGCATTTATTGGAGATACAAGGTTTTAATTCTACTGTATAGCATCATATATATAGTAAGGGAGTGTAGAATTTTTATTTTTTACACAGTGAATCGATATGCAGCAGATAATCATATATTTAAAATCTGTATCTGGAAATTAAATTCAAGTTAAAAATGTAACCACGTAAAAACATATAATTTGATAAAGGAAGAACAAGTACATCTACAATGAATATAAAAGGCTGTATTCTTGATTACAGGTAGTTGGGAACTATTTGTAATTATGACAGTCGTCGATAAGATTCCAATCGATCATATCCTGTCTGCTGCAGAAGAAACCATTATTCGACCTTATCTGTTGTTCTGCCTTTTTATCTCCAATCACGATGCAGTGATTCAGATCCCAAAATAATGTGTTTTTGAGACAGTAACAGTTAAAATGTGAAAAAAAGAACTATATCACCTCTAGAAAGAAAACAAATTTTTAAAGAATTTCGACCGAAAATCATGGAAATTGCATGAATTATGAAATTCGTATCACCTGATGTTTCTTAAAATGTTTGGGCATTATGATGCAAATTTAAGATTCAAAAAAACGGAAGTCAGTTGGAGCTAGATGTTAACTTGTCATTACAAAATATCTTACGATACAATTGCCTTGATCAAATAATTAAATTAAAATAAAGGAGCAGTATGCAAGAAGAGACGTTCTATGATTGATGTCTATCTTTCAAGTATGCTCTATTTTCTTAGGAATTGGTTTCCTAAAAGCTCTGTATACCTGGACTGAAATCTTGTTTTGATGCTTAATTATGCAAGTATTAAAATGTATCTGTTTTGTTTTTTA